TTGAACAAACAGGTTCAATAAAATTCTTCTCCACTTTGCCTCAATAAATGAAGAGGTTGTTCATTTCCTTGACTATATAACAATTGCCCTGTCTTTAATTTTTTTTTTTTTTTTTTTTTTGGTACCAGAGATCGAACTCAGGTCCTTTTGCTTGCGCAGCAGGCGGCGAAACCATTGAACTAAATCCCCGGCTAATTTTTCGTTTTTACAATTGCATCGTTTGTGCTGATAAAATTTTTAACATGTACATTTTGATTGCCAGCTTTTTAAATCAAAATAACAAAAAGCATTTCTCCTGAGCTTATAAAAACTGCTCTCAGTTAACTGGCAGTCCATATTTTAAGTACGGTGGACCCATGACTTACAAACTTGATTGGTTCCCGAGGGTTGGTTGTAACTCAAGTTGGCTGTAAGTCAATGCAGCTGAGATCTGGATGTTTACCTGGGTACACAGTATAGATAACAAGAGACAGATGAGTCATCATTAACTTAATTAAACCAAATTGTTTGTATGACAGGCTGGTCATAACTTGAAGATCCACTGTACTTTCCCATGTTTTAATTTCATTGTTAATTAGTGTTTTTAAGCCTAATAATAATTTTTACATTAACAAAGCATTTATTCCAACTGAGTAAAATGTAGTTGCCATTCAGATATGAAACCTATTTCAAGATTGAAATCATTTTCTAATATTCATTTTTGTTGCACATTATTTAAGTCAAAAAATTCTGATGACAACTTGACAGTTTCTACTCATTCATACTAAAAAAATATATTTTTACTCTTTTTGGCTATTACAGACCTTAACATGCAATGTGACCTTGGTCTGGAAAGCATATTTTGTTAGTTCAGAAACTTAATCATAAGAAGTCATGAGTAGAATCCTTCTTCTTTACTGCCCCTTTTCTAGGACTAGGAAATTTACTGCTTATGGGACAGGTAGGATATGAACAATGGGCCCAATAGAGTCCAGGGTTATCTCATCTCTGTGAAAACTACTGCTGAAAATCTATGTGACCTCTGCTACACTGTCATCCCAGTTCCCACCCTCTGTGTCCTATTTGTCTTTTGGTAGAAGTTTAGATCTGTGTGCTGTCTCTATGTGTTTCTCTTGGGGCAGATTATCACAATGAATCATTGCCTGCATGCCTCTTATATTTCTATTTATTTTCCTGGTGTTGACTAGGTCTGATGAAATATGATTCTTTCTGCATTTGATCTTCACTGCAGCAAGCAACACCTAATTCAGCTGTGTCTATCTCTTTAAAGAAGAGTAATAAAATTTTGAAACTTCAATCTACTATAAAGCTGCATTACAACCATAGACCATGCACCTTGTCTTCATAGTTAATAATAATCTTCTTTAGAAACCAATTTAATGACATCATCTCCGAATGAAAGACTTTTAGCTATTTTAATGTAGTTTATAATTTTGTTTTATGGGTACTTAATGTATTGCTTTCCTTTTCAGGCAAATATCACTTAGATTCTCAATACTGGGGTTACATGTATGTGTAGAGTGAGTTATAAGAAGAAATCTGTTAATTTTAATAAGTCTGTCCCTGATACAAAATTCATATTCAGGGGAAATACTGTATTTTCTCTGAATCAGCAGGAAGTGAATATTCTAACTTTGTAGCAGTTCATTTTGTAAAAATGTATCTTCCAGGCCATATAAATTCATACTTTATTATTTATAATAATCAATTTAAATCAAGCCCCTCTATTATTAATATTGATAGATTATTATGAAGTTATTCTATCCATTTAATGCATTCATATGGAGAAGACAAAATACTACCCAAATACACAAATCAAACAATAAAAATAAAGCATAGTGGTTCTTTACTAGCTTTTAGAAATGAACTTTAAAAACAGTAGAGCTGCTAAGAACTGGTTAGAATTGTTTTTTTAAAAAAACAATTATAATATTTAAATGAAACCATGAGGTTGAATGAGTTCACAAAATTAGTGATAATGTGCTGATTCTCTGTGGAATAATTGACTTCTTCCAAGCCAACCAGTGATGAAAGAGAGAAAATAAGAGAGAGAGGAAGAGAGAGAATGATCCTGTGAAAGTGAGTTAATTTTAATTAACTTATGTTTAGTTATTTTCAAATTAATATAACTAAATTTTTTTTTGTCTTTAAAATTCACTTTTATTCTCACTTTGCTTTTTTTTGTATATCCTTTTATTGGTACATTTTAGGTGTACAACATAATGACATTCATCATTGGAGATATGCACCTTTACATACTCTCTTGGTCCTTATTTTTCTAATAACTAAATATTATGTAAATAAAATTATAAGTTGTAGAAAACATATCATGTATATAAGATCAAAATACTATTTAAAAAATTTTCTAGAGAACAATTCCTGGGAAGAAATTTAGGAATAGCTTCCTTTGCTAAAGAAAATTAATTGGGTAGTTTATGCATTTCATTTAATTTTTTAAGATTGATAAACATTCTTTTTAATGGATTCAAATAAGGTGAAACTTAAATCTCTAAAACAATCATTTAGTATTGTTATCCATATTGGATTTGGAAAAAATAAGAAATTGAAAGACTATCTATATTAAGGACATTTTATTTAGAGATAATGTTATCCAATGATTCTTTGCCATGACTTCCCTTACAAGTAATCCTACAGCAAAGCTTGATGACTGCAAAATCAGTAGGATTCAATACTCTACACAATACATATCCAGGCTTCTTGCGATTGAAAATTGAAGTCTAACTGTGTGACAAATCCATATTTGCAGCCTTACAGAAACCACACCAAAACCTAGACATTTTTGTTTCCAAATTATGTGAAAATTGGTTAGGTCTAAATCCAAGCCGAATTTTTTCTTGAATGAGTCTCATTACAATATAATGTGTCACTGAAAATGTGTATTGTTACACCCAGTGAGAGAGAACCAACCAGAGACCGATATTAAATCCACACAGGAGTTTATTACCGGCTGGACCCGAGCCCAGCATCGGACTCGAGCCTCGACTGGGGGTTGACAAACGTGTTTTATACACCTTTGAGGCCAACAGTTTCTAGGCCCCACTATTGGATAGAACTAGTAAAGCAAGCAAAAGGTACAGAAGCGGAACGTCCTGCTGTTAGAACATTTGCAAAACAATAGTTGATTGTTATTTCTGAAGAGACTTTCTAAGGGGAGGAGGTTTTTAAGCTTCCTCCTTCTGAGTTCGTCTAAAGGGCAGGCAGGTGGGTCAAGCAGTAATATGGAGTCTGTCTTGCTAACTAGGGTCCTTCATGTATGACCATAGAGACACACATTTTTGAACTTCTCTTGTGCCATTACTGAAATTAGAGACTACAATGAGTACAGTAACTGTTTTATGTGTAGGATTCACCCTATAGTGCACTACTGTTGAACTATAATTAGGAGCAACAGTCTGTTTGGTTACATCCATGAGTTTATTTCTCTGCATCAGATTATTTTTACTTTACATATGTAAAAAAATTACTCCCATTCCTAGTTACAAAGCAAATTGTGGTATACAGGTCATGAATCTCATGTTAAAGATTGTCAGCCAGATTTCTTATAGATCAACATGCTGCTGGCTTTCCAGAAGAGGAATTTCTTTGTGTAATTAGATGTGGGTGTCCAAAACATAGCTGAAGCATCTCATTAGATAAATTCTTTTGATATCTGTTTATCTGAAACTAAGAGAGAGTCTCATTAAGGTACAGTGGACCCTGACTTACACACTCAATTTGTTCCCCAGAGCCGGTTGTAATTTAAGTTGGTTAGCAAAGGCTCAGGCTCCTCTACACAGCCTTCAAAGTCTCTCTCCTGTATACAGGCAGATCTCAGTGTCCTTATAGAGACATTGACCCAAGATTTCTCAGTTAACCACGCACACGTAAGGATGGTGTATTGTTCCATCCAGAACTCTTTAAGGGTTAAATCTGTATCTGAGACCACCTGGAAGCACAAGTGGCTGGCATTCGGGTCATAAATCTAGACTTTGGTCATAAGATAAAACTAAAATTCCAGTCATAACCCAAGTTGTTTGTATGTCAGGCCAGTTGTAACTTGAGGGTCCACTGTAATGAGAATGAGGGAGAAGATCACATAAAAATAAAAGATGTGAGTAGATACAACTTTCATTTCATGTCATAGGTGGTATTTTTCTCATAATGGATTTTCTTCAAAATTAAAAGTAGCACAGGAAAAAATTTAAATTCCTACCAACTAGATAAGGTTTAAGTGAAAGGTGATATAACTATGCAAAGTAATACTATTTAGCAACAAAAAGGAAGAAACCACTGATACATGCCGCAGCATGCATAAGCCTTACAAACAGGATCCTATATGAAAAAGCCAGATACAAAGTGTGCATATTATGTTATTCTATTTATGTAAAATATTCAGACAAAGCTAAACTTTGAAGACAGAAAGTAGAATAATGGTTGCTGGCGCCTAGGGCAGGGAATGGAATTAAATATAAATGGTTATGAGAAATCTTTGGAGGAAGAAGATTAAGATGTCTTAAAATAAAATTGTGGGATGATTACACTACTCCATAAAGTTACTAAAAACTAAATGTAGACTTAAAATAGGTGAATTATTTGTGTGTAAATTATGCCTCAACAAAATTGTTGAGAATGATGAAGATGGGTAGAGAGACAGGTTTGAAGAGAAAAAAATAAAAGCAGCATATGCTTTTCAAAACAGTGATATTCTTTAATTTATACATATTCATAAGTACATATGTCAATTGTATGCATATTAAAATCATTTCTTGAAATTCCATGCCTGTTTAGAAATAAATGTTGTTTCTGTATCATGGGTTCTGTACTGAATCATTTATTTTGAAAAACTGAAGACAGCTATAGCTTAGGTGTGACTTCTCACTCTGAGTGTCCATCATTTACTTTTAGGAACAAAATCTTTACAGATGTCTACTAGAGCTGACTTAATGAAACATTTGAGCTATTAATTTGGAAACCTTCTGACATTAATTTTGTTTTTGCAGAAGAGGTACCTGTTCAAATTCCAATGACGAAGCCACCCTTGGACAAGATCCAGCTGGTTCCTGGGCAAGCATTGCCCCCTGGATTCCCTGGACCATTCATTTTTGCTGATAGTTTGTCTTCCGTGGAAACTCTGTTGACCAACATTCAGGTCAACAATATTTCTATAAACAAAATAAATGTAATACAAGACATTGGCACCTAAATAAATTACTTAATATTTGAGAAATTAAAACATAAGATGAACTGCATATCATTTGCTGTGTTTTGACAGGGTCTGCTGAAAGTGGCTTTGGATAATGCTCGCATCAAGGAGAAGCAGATTCAGCAAGAAAAGAAGGAACTGCAGATGGAGCTCTATAGAGAGAAAGAAATTAGAGAAAAGCTTGAAAGACATCTTGCAATTGAGCTTCAAAATAGAAGTAAGTTTAACAAATTTAGTTCCAGAGTTAATATTATATTGGATATGGTATTATTAAAAGAAATATTATCAAGGATAATTTGGAATTAATGAAAACAAGTAACAAGCTACAAACAAAATACTATGTATATCCCACAAGGTAAGAATATATACTCTCTGTATTTCCAATAAAAAGAACACTGGATTTGTACTTGAGATTTGTTGCAAATTTGGAAATATAAATATTTATAGTTTTCTCATAATTTCATAAAATTCACCTGGATAAAAATAATGTCACAATTCATTATATATGCAATGCTTACTCTTTGCTAGGCATAATGCCAGATTCTGGGATGATAAAGTGAATAAAACTCAGTCCAGATCCTTGGGGAACTTACAGTTTTGAGGATTAGGAAAAAACAGTTAACTTAAAAATAAAGTGGCAAAATGCAGAACCTGTATAGTTATACAGAGAAAGTTAGTTAGCTTTGCTTGTGATGGTGAAAGAGTAGAGGAATACATCCTGATGCTGACACCTTTATCTGAGTTTTAAAAGATCAACAGGCTAAAACATGTTATTCAAGTACCAGAGTAATTTGACCATTCTATACAGTGGAATCAGTATAGGCATGGAGACAAGAAATGTCAAATAGGGGAGCCTACATGCAAGTTGTTATTATAATAGTTTTAAATTTTATGGAGTGAGTGGTGTTAGATGGAGCAGAAAGATGAAGGTAGAAGTTAAATTATGAAGAACATTTTTAATTGTGTAGAAGAGTACCTTGTATTTTATCCTATAGGAAATTAGAAGTATTAGAAGTTGAGTAAGAGGATGATGTGGTATGATTTCAATTAGATTGATCACTTTGATATTGGAGATTAATTAGAGAAGTATAAGACTAGATGCAAGAAAACTACATATAAGTAGATTGCTGTCTTCCAATCAGTTATGATGAAAACTAATTAAAGTAGAGAAAATAGAGGAGAAATACTGTATTGTTCACAAATAAAATAATTTTTCCAACCATGGGGGTACTTGATTATGTACAGTAATGTATAAGTGAAATTAATTTATATCCAAACCATAATAAATTCAAAATTTCAAATTTGTAAAAATTCCCACATGTTCCCTATATTTACCATAAAATACTAAACAGCAACAACAGAAAATATAACAGTTGAGTTCAGCTTCTTTTCCTTCCCTGCTTACTCTTCTATGTAAGGATTGCAAAGCCTAAAGCAAGTAAAGAGTACAAAAGTGGGAAGGAGAGGCAAAGAAAGGGAGAGAAAACATAAGTAGACAATCTGTATAACACATTGAACAAGTAAGGATGATACTAGCTGAGTAAAATCTAATACAGTAACTTTATTTTAATTCATAGTAGCATATTGTACTCTAAAATTTCTTTTAAGGGATTGAAAAAATACTATTTTCCTTAAGGCCTAGAAATCATTGCTTTGATGCAAAATAGAATTTCAATCATTGCATTTAAACAGAATGAAATCAGTTTTCCTCAACTTACCAGATTTCTTTTTTTTTTTTTTT